ATCTACATTTTAAAGGCTATCGAATGATACATAGTAACGACAGTCTGGATCGGTGCGTCGAGCTGATGGACTCAACAAAGATTAAGGCATACGCGATTATTATAATAATATATAGTTAATGTTACCGCATTCCGGACTCCACTGGGGGCGCTGGAGCCCCGGCTGCTGGGAGGCTGGTGCTCTCGGTGATCGGCTGTGTGCGGTGACCGTGGGTCAGCAACCGGCCGACCGGGGTCGGCGGAAGAGCGACCAGTGCCCTGCGCAACCGAAGGCCCCAAACAAAACCCCAAACAACCCAGTATAAGGATTGATGCAGCAGTTGGCACGGTTCCGCGGATGTATTGGTTTCTTAGTCGGAGTTCCATTGGAAGTGCCCAAAGCTCGGCTATCTTTATCTCGCCAGGGCAGGCATCGTTGCGTTGCCGATGCGGAAGCGGTGCGTGCTTGGCCCTGTCGTGGTATGGCAGCGCGATCTAGTCTTTTCATCGTGAAATTCGCTGTTGTACGGGCCAGTGAAGCATCACTTGCGCAATGTAATCCAATAGCCGTCCCAAACTGGTTTTCCTTTGCGGTTCCCAAGCGTAGGTCAGCAAACTCCGCGTTGGCAGTAACGCCGTCAATGTGTGGGGTTAGCTGTAGGTGCCGTAGAACGGAACCGGTCCCGCTTGCCGTCCGACGTGGCTCAGTTGTCGTTGAAACCCGCCATTGTTAATGACCTCCCATGCTGACCGAACGGATCGCCGCCGTCGTCGCTGCCTGCTTTGCCAGGCCGAGGTAGATATAGCGTTGCTGGGGGTATGCTTTGCCGTCTGAGATAGGTGCAGCCGCCCTGTTAAGGGGACATAGAAGCCCGTCCGAGGTGGGTTCAGCCGTTGCTGGACGTCTCCTTCGTCGGAGGAAGGTGCGGCCCTAGGCAGAGAGCCGTCTTGCCGTCCGAGATAGGCGTAGTCGTCGCTGTTGGCTTACGTTGCTGTCCGAAGTAGGTGCGGTCGTAGTGAGATCAGGCCTTGTCGCCAGATGTGGGTACAGTTGGGGTTGGAGGACTACCTTCCTGCTGGAAACAATATGGCCGTAGTTGCAAGTGCTGTCTGGCCGTCGGAGGAGGACGTAGCCGTGGTTAAAGGCATGCCTTGCCATCAGACGTGATGTGGCCATAGTTAACGGCCTGCCTTGCGTCCGCAGCAGGTGCAGTCTTCGCTGTTGGCTTGCCTTGCCGTCGGAGGTGGGTGCGGCCTTAGTTATAGCCTGCCCTGCCGTCTGAGTTGGTGCAACTGTCATGTTGGCTTACATGCCACCGGTGGGAGGGGAAGCCGTAGCTGGATCCAGTCAGCTTTGCCGTCAGACGTGGTAGAGCTGTCGCTGCTGGCTTGCTGTCTGCCAGAGCTGGTGCGGCATAAATGTTGGCTTGCCCTTCCGTTCGAGGAGGTTGCAGCCGTCGCTGGTGAGCTTGCATGCCGTTCGAGAAAAAAGCCGCCGTTGCTAAGGGGGTTGAATTTCGTCTGACGAAGGTTCGGCCGACGTTGGTGGGCCTGCCTGCCGTCGGTGGAGGCCGTCGTTGTTGCTAAGAGCCCTAACTTTCGTCCGAGGAAAGTACGGGTGGCGTTGGTGGAACTGCTTGCGTAGGAGAAGGGCGCCGCCAGCAGCTACGGGCCCTGACTCCCGTTCGAGGAAGTTGTAGCCTCGTTGGTAGGAATGCTTGCCGCCGGAGGACGGCGCCGCCGTTGGTAGAGGTTCCTGTCTCGTCCGGGGAAGGAACACCGACAGCCGGAGCTGTTGCCCTGGTATGCCGTTCGAAAAAAGTGCAACCGCCACTGGGGTCTGCTTGCCGTCGGAGGTAGGCGCGGCCGAAGTTGCTGGCCTAGTATGCCGTCCGAGGAAGGTGCAACCGCCGCTGGGGGTCTGCTTGCCGTCGGAAGTAGGCGCACCGGATCTGGTGGCCGTGTATGCCGTCCGAGGAAGGTGCAACCGCCGCTGGGGGTCTGCTTGCCGTCGGAAGTAGGCGCACCGGAGTTGGTGGCCGTGTATGCCGTCCGAGGAAGGTGCAACCGCCGCTGGGGTCTGCTTGCCGTCGAGTAGGCGCACCGGATCTGGTGGCCGTGTATGCCGTCCGAGGAAGGTGCAACCGCCGCTGGGGGTCTGCTTGCCGTCGGAAGAAGGCGCACCGGAGTTGGTGGCCGTGTATGCCGTCCGAGGAAGGTGCAACCGCCGCTGGGGGTCTGCTTGCCGTCGGAAGTAGGCGCACCGGATCTGGTGGCCGTGTATGCCGTCCGAGGAAGGTGCAACCGCCGCTGGGGGTCTGCTTGCCGTCGGAAGTAGGCGCACCGGAGTTGGCCGTGTATGCCATCCGAGGAAGGTCCAACCGCCGCTGGGGGTCTGCTTGCCGTCGGAAGAAGGCGCACCGGAGCTGGTGGCCGTGTATGCCATCCGAGGAAGGTGCAACCGCCGCTGGGGGTCTGCTTGCCGTCGGAAGTAGGCGCACCGGAGCTGGTGGCCGTGTATGCCATCCGAGGAAGGTGCAACCGCCGCTGGGGGTCTGCTTGCCGTCGGAAGAAGGCGCACCGGAGTTGGTGGCCGTGTATGCCGTCCGAGGAAGGTGCAACCGCCGCTGGGGGTCTGCTTGCCGTCGGAAGTAGGCGCACCGGATCTGGTGGCCGTGCCGTCCGAGGAAGGTGCAACCGCCGCTGGGGGTCTGCTTGCCGTCGGAAGTAGGCGCACCGGAGTTGGTGGCCGTGTATGCCATCCGAGGAAGGTCCAACCGCCGCTGGGGGTCTGCTTGCCGTCGGAAGAAGGCGCACCGGAGCTGGTGGCCGTGTATGCCGTCCGAGGAAGGTGCAACCGTCTTTGGTGGGCCACTAAGCCTACTTGCCGCCGTAGGAAGGGGCCGCCAATGGTAGGTGGCCTGTCTGCCGTCCGAGGAAGATGCAGCCGTCATCGGTGGGCCTACTTGCCGTCGAAGGAAGGCGCCGCCGCTGGAAGGGGGCCTGTCTGCCGTCCGAAGAAGATGCAGCCGTCTTTGGTGGGCCACTGAGCCTACTTACCGCCGTAGGCCCGTAGGAGGGCGCCGCAAATGGTAGGTGGCTCTGACTGCCGTCGGAGGAAGGTGCAGCTCTCTCGCTACCTGCTTGGCTTGCTGCCAGGTATGCGTCGTCGATCGTGGGTGCCTGCCAGCCTCCGAGGAAGATTCAGCAGTCTTTGTGGTCCTGCTGGCTGTCTGAAGAGGGCGCCGCCACGGTAGGGAGCCTGACTGCCGACCGAGGAAGTGGCTGCCGTAACTGGATGCCTACCTTGCCGTCCGAAGAAAGTGCAGCTCTCGCCAGTAGCCTAGCTTGCCGTCGGAGGTGTGCGTCGCCGTCAGTTGGGGTCCTGTCGCTGCCAGAGGTCGAGCGGCCGTAGTAGACGGCCTGCTTTGCCATCCAGTGGAGAGCTCGCGTCAGAGGTTGTGCCGCTTTGCTTGGTGGCCTGTCTTCCCGTTAGGCGCAGCCACAGCAGCTGATGGACTGATCACGTTGATGATGGCTGTAACTTTTCCGCTGAGCTGTCGTTGCTCTTATCCTTTCCGCGCTGAGAATGCTCTGTAGAACCGCTGAACGAATGAGTGGCGTTCAACGTTGCCACGAGTGCAAGCAGTTTCGCTTGGCTCTTCAGATATAGAGCGGATTTACATGACGCTAGGAGGTGAACACCGAATTCTGGTTAGAATTTGGCCAGTTAAAAGAGATCACTCGCGAAAGAACAGAGATCACTCGCGCGCACACGACTCGAAGGAGCAGTGACAAACAGCAATTTAGAAATGCAAAACCCTAGCGAGCGCACGAACAGTGCCAAGCGCAAACAGCATGCCCGTGCAAGACGGCGGCCGCTTTGATCTAAGCGCCACGGCGACGCGCAGCGCCACCCACAGACTCACGTAACTTGCTACACGTGGGGAAAGGAGAAAGAGCGGGGGCGCATGTCCTCCAGCTAACATTAACATCAATTAACTCGTTAATTGTCATGTATAGAGAGATAACTCCCGAACCGGCTGTTGCGCGCGCAAACGGATTTCACAACTACGTATACAATTCTTCTGCCTACAAAATTCCATAAAGCAATGCAAAAAAGTGTTTGGGAGTGCGCGACAGCGAAAGTTCCCGTTGGTGTACTGTTGTACATGAACTGGTGCTATGTACCGGGCCAAATCCCTTACTTCGAGACTGTCCAGATATAGTGTGCAGCGCATCCGGTCAGACGCATTTTTTTCCGCGACAGTCAGCTTCTTACGTTAATAACTTGCAGATTTCTATTGTAACCATACAATATTTAAAAAAATTTTTTTTTCTGAATCACCGCCTCCCAAATAGTCCCAATGCGTTGCGCCACGCAGTAAACACCAAAGCGCTGGCTAAATTGCCTTTTTGCATTGGAATCCGAGAAGAAGGATGTCTTAGAAACCGTTGTATGGTATACGAAAACGAAAGAGCTCAATATAGCATTCACTCCTGCAACCGTCGGCAGATCTGGACAAAATTTACCGGGCGATGAAACATGCCGCAGCGGAACATTTCCGTCATTTCCGGTGGGCGCTGCTCTTTGTCATCGCCACTGGCGCTATGTGAGTAGCCGGTGGCACTGGATCTCCGTAGCTAACGTGTAAGGCTACTGCTAACTGCCGTTAAACGTATTCCCATTCCATACTAATCGGCTTTTGATAAGAATCAGATCGTCCACAAGTAGTACTGTACGTGTACCATGCATGCCCAACAGTAGTGCTGTGTATTCGTCTTATTTTCACTATGTTTAAGGCGCATATTATCGTGGGAAGATGTGTAGCCCGCCGCGCACGCACACTATCGTTCTATCAAGGCCAACCTGCATTACTGCATAATTTAGATTTCTTTGTTATTTAATGGGTGCCGCATGATTCAAGAGCCAAGACTTGTCCGCGACCAGAATTTTTGCGGCTAAATGTAGTCAAAAAGTCTCAATGCAACTGTGTCAAAACCGAAACGTACTCTATGTGATGCAAAATGCCGCAGTTGTCCGGGTGTAAAAACTTTATGTCGAAGAAAACCTTAAAAACTTCGCTAGAACATTCACGAAAACGTTTTTGAAATTCCGAAGTGTAGACTGCGGTTATCAAGGCAGTTGGTCAAATGACACAGCGAAAACATTAAACGGAATAGTACGTATACATGCTCGCATTAAATAGTGGTTGTTGGTGAATATGAGGAATCAATTGCTTTGTCCACTCCAAACCCTTCCACTTGAGTTTATTCAGATGACGTGTAAGGGTGTTCAACGAAATGGCTTTGTTCGGGGCGTTGCTGGGGGCGAATGTGTTTTATATAATCCTTTCTCGAATATGTTACTGGATTTTGAAAACTTTTCATTGAGGAATGGCTGTCATGTAATGATCAACTCCGTTATAAATGATAAACACAGATTTCTCAGCGTGATCCTTGTCGAATGTCCATACAGTGCTCGGAAATATGAAAGTGATGGTGCAATTAAAAGCTTCAGATGCGGCTGCCAGTTGCTCCCCACCAGCCCACGTGTTCGCTTGACGCATCTCTTCTAACAGGGCGAACAACTTATCTTTGGTTAACAACGGAAACCGGGCCTCTAGGAAGGAGAAGTTTTCAGCGAGAGACATAAATTCCAAAATTTTGGTTCGAATTTCGGTGTGTCGCTCTTCTGTTCCATGTAACGCAAAGGACATAGCGCGATAGAAGCAGTTCCCATCACCCACCACATCAACAGTCTTTAAACGCATCTCGGTCAGCTTTTCATTCAAAAACATCTTCCAGGCTTCATGCTTTTCTCTGTGCCCGTCTTCTTGGTGGACCTGTTTTTCTTTAGGGCAATCCCTATTCACCACCGCTGATTCGATGCCCGCAGTTTGTCCTGTGGCTGTGAAAATAAACTACCCGTAGTAAAACAATGATTTTTTGACATAAAAATACTGAGCTAAGGCATACCGATAGAATACGTAGAGTCAGCTAAAGCGTGCAATCTTGCTTCCTCCAGAACGTTACCGTCGTAAGGCTTAATCGCTTCACTCTTCCCGGTATCATTAAACACTACGCAAATGCAACGTACTTCAATGCCGGGCGTGTCCAGTGTCTGCAAATCGTACGGAGAAAGCGGGATGTCGTTCTGGGTATCGTGTCGAAATACAAAAATGAAAGGGACGCCGCCTGGTTGCATTTCACCGGCCATTTCCTGCTGGGTGTATTTTGCGTAACGAATCTTATGAAACTTTTCCCCATAATTGTCCAGTTCTTTTAGTTTATCTAAGGAAACAACCCGAGTGTCCCTAAAGGTTTCTGAAATCAGGAGAATGGGATAAAAAGTTCTTTTCTTGTCGTCCGGATTGTAAGGTAGATCACGGACCACTTCGCTAGCGGCTTTATAGATCAAGACATTAACTGACTCATCTCGTTTTGCAAACACCATTCCATCTGGATGAACAGGCACACACATGATGTTGGACAAGCCAATAATTCCGCGACTTCTTGCAAGCAAGGTGGCGTCAAATTTGGAATGAGCCATGTTGTTACTGCCTGGGTCACAAATCACCACAGCTGCTTGAAATTCCAATGAGTGCGTGTCATGAGTGTTTGTTAATCTTTTCGGATGTGATAAAGGTGTAGCAGAATCGTATTCACCAGTAAAATATTTCAGCGTCGTCAGATGTGGCGGTTTCAGATTGCTGGTATCAGTTAAAGCTGCGGACGTAATTATTGCAATGCTGCTTTCTTCAATTCCAAGGAGCTTAAAACGTTGCACCGATCGAAACACTAGTTCACTGAGTAGCGGTGTGATATTGCAGGCTGGTGGCTGGACTATGTACTGACCATCGAGCAGTTCACCGTACACGTTGAAGTCGAAGATCTGATTGCTGCTGTCTCGGCCGAAGCGTGACTGCAGGTTTCGAGCGCACCGGAGAGACACTGTCAAATTGGTTGCACGCGGCAGCGTATCACTAAGGTCATCGGTGAAGCTGCCGGGTAAGGCAGCTGCCCAAAAGTACAGTCCCTCAGCTGCTGTACCAGAAGATGAAACGCTGGTTTTCTTATCGACATTCGCGGATGATGAGGGTAAATGTTCTGCAACGATGTGTTGAGTGCTTGCTAAAAGTATACTGTATGTCCACATCAAATGTATTTCTTTCGCCATTCCAAAGAAACATAAGTGAGCTTCATCGATAAACACGTGGCAAGGCAAAAATTTTCTGGTACTTATGGTTCGTCGTGCTTCGCAGAAGAAAGGATCGTCTTTTGATATGGACACAATGAGATAGCGTTCGGTAGCAATATCATGGTCTTGCAGGAATTTTTTGTACTGATCAGCTAAACTTGGAGGAGCAATGATAACTGCTTTATGCTTATCGTTTTTCTGCAGTAATTCCAAGCACTTGTATTGTAGCAAAATAGTTTTTCCTGTTCCTGCAGGACCGCATATGAATTGTTGTTCGCCTCCGTACCATACCTCCAGTTGTTCGACATTCAAAAACGACACTGGCCTGAGCCCACGAGGTGTTTTGTTGTTTGGCTGGTTCTTTCGTTTGCTGTTGAAAACAGCCGGTAGAGACGCAATGCCTCCTATAGGTTTGTCAGGCTTCGGCATGACTCCTCCAAGTTGCTCAGCTTTCTCCACCACATCGTATCCTTCTAGAATAGAATATTCCAAAATTTGAGACTGAACTATTTTTTCCACCATGATTTTGTAGCTCTTGAACATGGCTGTTTGTTCTCCGGATAGCGGCCATAAATCGTCGATGGAAAAGTTCTGGTTTTTAAGTTTGTCCAGCCATGTCTTATCCAGTACGCGATGGCCCGAACACATTTTGACTGGAGCGTCCGGCAGCATAGGAAAAAATATGAAAGAGGTGATATGCTGCTGGCTGATACCAAAGTACGTTGCACAGCACCAGAGTAGTTTCTTGAGCTGCGCGGTAGCCCCTTTGCTTGCCGTCTTCTCGCTCTTTAGATCTTCGATGCCTTTTACTTCGAAAAGCATCACCCCGCGGTGTTTATGAATAACGAGGATGTCTAGATCCGGGATGTCAATTAATTTCGGTTCCTTTTCCGTCTTAGTCTTCTTTGGCGTTTTTGGTTTGCTGAATGAAACATTTCCGCTTTCTGAAGAGCCTACCTCTGCCCCAGAAGACACGCCTGAGTGCACAGTACCCGACAAAGGTCCATCTGATGATGAGTCACCCACTTCCACCGGTTTAGCTGGAGATGAATGAAACTTGTTATTATAGTCTTTTAAAAATTGAGCGTCGTCTGGAGAATTCTTTGGATCTGGAAATTTCCAGTTCGAGACAATGAACACTTTTTCTTTCCGAAGGATAAACGCGTCCCTCAGTGCATCAAACGCCAAATATTCGGCTAGTGCCCCATTTGCTAAGCCAATTTTGTTCACTTTAAGATTTTTAATGTGATCTTCCAGTTTTCCCGTTTCCCGACCATTTTCTTGAAGTAAATTAACGCGTTTTTCGTACCAGTCAATGTACTGTTGAAGACGTTCCTTAGTCGGTCCTTCATATCCTGGTACGAACACTGGTGGGTACGCGTAGCACGTAACGGCATTCTCATCGCTCCAGCCAGGAAAAAGACCTTTCATTTTTTCAATTGCATCTTTTTCTTTTTTCATGGAACGCTCATTCGTCTGATGCGCTTTTCCGGACGTTGTCTGCTTGTTCAGACGGAGCAGGGTCGAATTATTCCAGAAAGGCCAAAAAGCGTATCCGGTGGGAATGAGGGCTTTGTATATTTCAATTATCGTCTCTTCGAATTCCGCTTTATCAAACCGAATACGGCTCCGAAGTTCCAGTTTTTCTTTTTCAAATTCTTTGAATCCCGTGAGTTTGTGAATGGTTGTTTTTTCGTTGTACTGCATTTTGAAGCAAGTGGCTGTCCATCTTCTTTTTAACAAGGCTTTGCCTCTCGGTGACATGTTTTTATAATGATCAACATCTTGCTTGTTTTCAAAGTGAGGATTTCTATGGAAGTCTGGTAATTCCATAATTCCGGCGTCCCAGTGCACAGCTAGCCAAACAGAGTAGCTCTCAGAGTGCCAATAAAATAACATGGCTTTCTGTTCTTTCTCTGAGAAATAACGTCGGAGATCCATACACACCAACATCTGCGAATTACGAGTATCACCAGTCTCTGTTAGAATCACACTGTTCAGCGGCGCGGTGCAAGGTTGCTTCCATTCCATATCGTTCCATCCCGGACAACATTGATCCAGCACACGACGAATATGGTCCTCCTTGCCATCTCCGGAAGTGTCAAGAATCGGTCTAGGGGTTCTGAAATAGGCTAGGCTTAGGAAACAGGTCTAAAGGCTATCGTAAATCGCTTATTGGCTTCGCCGCTTCATTACTGTCACTTTTCAGAGCAAACGACTTAATGAACATTGGGAAGAAGTTAGTACGAAGGTTCTAGATCGTAGCATGTTTGGTTGTTTGCCTACACTTGTCTACTGGCGCACATTCTTGGCTAAACTTTTTAAAATTGGCATGCGAAGTCTAGATTTGCATTTTTATTATCGTAGAAACCATTTCCTTCACAGAGCTATAGTTATGAACTTATGCGGCACCGTGTCACGCGAAATCGTGATCAGCTTAGTCGAAAATGAATGGCTGAAAGTCGCTGGTCGGTAAAACTACCGCGGTAGGTTTCTTAGGATCGGTCGGTATCGGTTGAATCGGTAGGTTTCTTAGGATTTATTCTTAGTTTATTCTCTGTCTTAGGTTACCCGTTACTTTATTTTAAGTTTCTGAATTTTCTTAAGTTTCTTAGGCTTTATTCTTAGATTACTCGCATTGTTAGTAATTTCTAGGTTTTCTAAAGGTATTTTTAAAGTTTTTCTTAGGTTTAGTTTTTTTAGGTAACATGCTAGCCAACAATAAGCTGGACAGGTGTATCAGAGAGCAGACTGGTGAAATCCGCGCAAAGCATTTTTTGTCACAACGTTTTAGTACGCGCGAGCTTCTTGTTACCGTTAACAATAATGGTGAGTGCGACCGATCAAAATAAAAACATAGCAAACTGATCTAGAAGCCAAACAAATACGTTTGAGAAACTTTAAGATGCCTAAAACGCCTAAAGGAACGGAGAAGGAGGTGCCTAAAACACCTAAGAGAGCCTTTGCACTTCTTGCCAAACTAAAACTGATACAGTGAAGGGAAAACCCGATAAATTGCCAAAAGCTGGTACTCAAATGGTTGATATATATATGTATTGATATATACGGAAAACTGTCAAGCACCATGTGAGTTGGTCAGTACTTTAAGATTTCAGTGAAATTTTTACAAGCTGTATTGATGTAACTGCACCTACGTTTCTATCGAAGGGCTAGACTGCGAGTGGCTGCCTCGAGCCGCCAGATATCCTTGTTCTGCTTCGTAGCTTTCGGCGCCGCTGTTGGGCGAATAGACTACCCGAGAATTATTGGAGGGGAAACATGAAGAATTCCTGTCGATGTAGGCTTGAATTTTGTTGCGATCGTCAAGCACTTTGATAAATTGGAGGTTATTCGGATAGTCAGTTTCTTGATGAAGACTCATGAGTTCGCTTAAATGGGAGATGTTTCGTTCTTTCAGATCCATATCCGTTGCAGGAGCCAGGCCCCACTCAAAGCTAAGTTGCTCTAAAGATTGGACAGGTGTGTCGTTCTCTGGGATGGCCCCGGCAGATTCCGCAGCACTCGCCATGATGCTATGAGTGTACTGAAGCAAAACAGATAATAAGTATGAATAAGTTTTAAGTTTTTCTGTATATTTCCAGTACTGTAAGTTATACAAAAAAGCCTTGAGTGGGATATTGGTTAAACTAAGACGACTAGAGACGTAAACTGAAAGTAAGTGTCAGAAGTTTGTAAATATTCATTATTGAAGGATCGATAATGTTAGTTAACTTAGTGCGCTTTAGTGCAACAAGTTTGTGCATGAAGTCAAGTACTCGTACTTTAATATTAGAGAAAAAGTATTCACAAGCAGCGAAACATCGCACCAGGAAGAAAATGTAGCCTGTTTTCGGGATTTGCTGTTGTATGGATTTATCGTGCTGTGGTTTGCCACAACATGAACACTACATTATGAACCTTGCGTACAGTATAAAAAAAGAGCTGCTTGATCAGGAAACATCATAGAAATTACTGTGTGACTGAGTGTGCGTAGTGCGTACAACAAGTGCTCAACTGCGCTGTCTGCTCATGCGTGGATGCCATAGCCGCCAGAAATGTGATTGCGTTGAGATATGCCCGCCCATGAAACGCCCATTGAAGGAAAACGCGGTGCGCGCTCGTCGCAATGGCGTGTGGTATTGTATTTTTGTCTGCATGTAAACGTCTTTCATTTTCAAATAATAATTGTAGAAGCCGAATAATTACACAGAAGAGCACCTACCATCTGCTCCATGTGAGCACTGTGTGCTATGAGTTTTGTGCTATATGAGCGCAATGTCTAGCTCTGAATCAAAAAGTAAGAAAAGCACTACGGTTGCCTCGACCTGGCGCAAGGCAAACGTATCGCACACATCGCACACGCTCACGTGAGCTTTCAGTCTATGTACTTTCGCCCGAAGAATAATCCTTCGGGCGATTAGTAATACAGTGGCTGCGCAACAGGCTGCTACGGGCATTTGAAGTGGAACAAGCATAGACATATTTGTCGGACTATTCGTCGTGAATTACCCTGTGTGCACTGGTTACAACACCCGTGTGCAGTCGTTACAGACGCCCATTTCACTGACCGTCATTAGGAATCCGTGATTTATGTAAATTATCACCAATGCCAGCGAAATTCGTAAACTTCTTTTACCGATGACCTTTCCAGTAGGAAGAATGATATCGAAAACGTTTTGATCTTTGACGCAAATTTTGTAAAGTGCTGTGTGCAGTTCCGTGACCTCGGTCAGTCATTGCTTTGATGCGAATGTTCGCGATATCGTCAACACTCAACAGCAACATCACTGCCCGTCTCATTGCCCGTTTGACGTTGAACGTTGTTACTGGCTTTAGCGATTTCTGCACCGATATTTTAATACAATTTTTTTACTTGACGGAGCTTACAGTAAGTCGCTGATTTTTAGGAATCTACTAATTTTCTTCCATCTTTCCTAATTTTGCGGGTGGTTCTGACCCACAACGCTTTCGCTTATCCTTAGAGCTTTTTCGTACACGCACCAAACGCTTTTAGACTGCAGTATCGCTCTGTCAAAGCGCATTTACTGTATACGCAATTAGGTACCAAAAGGGTGCCTGTAAAATACAGGTTGTCTTAAAGATCTCTTATTTAAAAGGGTTCCTACAGTTAAGGGGATGTGGAAAAGGGGTGCTACACAAAACAAGGGTGCTTGAGGTGGCTGTACTGTGACAGCCCACAAACAAAGTGACTTCCTCTGTTACAAGAACAGAAATCAAGGAACGGCAGTTTCATACATCCATAATTATAGTTCAACATTTTCTTGACTGACCTGGCAAAAACAATGTTGACCGATTATGTCACAAAACTTTAAGGAACAAGCAACGAAACAGGTAGCACTACGACTAATTAATCAGTGCGACGCTGGTAATGCTTCGCCCAGTTTTTTATCACATTATTAAACGGTTGAATACGTGAAGCAAACGATTCTGACAGTTAATGTCGTTACAAAAACAGGCGTTCTCGTTTTGCAGACGACACTGTTGTTCGATGTTACTCAATTGTAACGTAGGGTTCTTCTTTATTATAACTTTTCAGTGCTAACAGATGACTTCGCCTAACATTGAATTCTAACAGCCTAAACGCGTTTATTATATATCGCGTAATGAAGAGGTAGAAACGTCGAGAAACTCTAACGGACAAGTGCGCAATCAAGTGAAATGCTGAACCGGCACTCTTGACCGGTTGTTCCAGAGTGCTCCGTGATGTAATAAATGGCTCGGACTACACAAGTATGTATAAAGTCAACACACAAGTGGACATACCACGTTGTTACTGTATGTAACAACACGTTCTTAATACATAACACAGTCAGCCATGTTAAACACTGATTACTCAAAAATACCTGCTCACACTGAACAGAAGGGATAGGACGGTTGCGTTGATAGTTAGACAAATGCTGCTGATCGACAAAGAGGACCAGTCAACTTTGGAGGTTCTGAAAACAGCAAGCGGTGCATAATCAGTAAGCGGTCAGTCTGCGGTACATAATTCTACTGAATGAAGCCAGTAAACTTACTCCCTTTTAAATAAGATCAACACAATATGTAGTGGCACCGGCTTGAAAGCTTTTTGAAAATGGAGTTCAAAACATTACCAAGCACCCATCTGATTACACAACAGATTATGTCGTGTCACAATCCCATAAATAAAGAATATGGAGTCAGTTACTGCGGTAACCCGAAGTACATTAGCTCTTGCTTCAGTGTTTTACTGGTTAAACGTCGCGACAAAGCAATTTGTTCAGATTTAAAATCAGATGGCAAGCTGATATCGTCGAAAAAAGGGTTTGGTATGCACGCACAAGCATGAACTGTGGTATTGAACTATGCAGTATTACAAAGTATAGTTACACTGCTATAGTAGCTGCAGACGCGGAAGCCCTTAGGGCAAGCAAGCGAGCAACAGCGTTGTCACGAATTACTCATGATACACGATGCCGCCGCGTGCCCGTCAAGATTAATTGCCAAAGGCATAATGTACTGAGATCACCATTACTCTAGTCACTATGACATCATACCGACGAGTCACGACCATGCCTCAACCGGTCCGGATACATATAGTATAAAGACTCCATCAAAAGCTTTCCTTTTGGCCTTTTTATAGGGCTCATATACACACTGTTACACACGCTATATATAGGGGGCAAAACTAAGCGTGTTCCACGGTTCTCCTGTTCGCAGCAAAGCCAAATCACGCTGCCACTGGGAGGCTGCCATTTGTTCACCAACCGAAAGCGGTCGGAATTCATTGCTTTAAATTTTTTATTCCGTTTATTTTTAGTAAATGTTTGAGTAAGTAAAAAGCAAACAAATTTTTCTGAGGAATTCAGGCTGGGTAGGAAGAAGTCCGCTGCCAGTGTAACGTTCCATAAATTTCTGAATGAATAAATGTGCCTATCAGGCACATCATGGACGAGGGCTATATAATAATAGCTTCCGAAACATAAAAACTACTTTTGATAACCCGATGGCTTTGTACAGCACTAGCTACTGATCAGTGCAATCAAATAAAAATGCTTAATGTTTGTGAAATCAGCTGCTGGGATAATGCATAATAAATCATATTAAATTCATTGCTTATTATTGCTCAGTGGTACTTGTTTTCACATCCCCTAATAATGCATCATAGAGTGACATAAAAATTCTGGATTTTTATTTTCTGATCAGTGAAGTTCGATCAAGTGAGGAAAATTTAAAGTTGTCAGCAAGATTTGTGGCAAATTGTCCATAGTAAAAAAAAACCATATGGTTTTAACGTTTTGTAAGGTGTATGTCGATTACGTAAATGTACTACGCTTGCATATCTGTGATTCTGTACCAAGTAGTTGGTGAACTGTGGCCTTTGCCCTCTTTTCTGCTCAGTTGTCAACGGAGGTTGTGCAGAAAATTACTCATGATCAGAATGAATATCAGATTCGGAATAAGTCAAGTAATATGTATCTAACATCTGATTTTCCCCAGCTTATATAGCGCCTGGGCTTGATCTGATTCATCCCTAATTAATTCCCCATCAGCGGTCGTCTTGGCTGCATAACTATTGTGTATCCTCCTCTAAGCAGGGCGCAATCCGAGGGAAACCGAGAAACGGCTGAAAAAGGGCGCCGATGGGGGAATCGAACCCCGGCTACCTCGTTAGATCCGCGTACGCAGTACCACTGCACCACGGCGCAATACCTTGAAATCATTTGAAAGATTTTGTCGCTGTACGTGAGCCGCTTCTCGCTTCACACTCCGCATTCTGATTTAATCAACATGCTGGGAGTACATCTGAGATCTGTGAACAAGAAGAGTGGCCTTTTCCATACCGAAAGCACGATACCCATGCTTTAATTAATGTGGCTGCATGCAAATATAGATATACAAGAAACAGCCTCGGCTTCGCCTCCGCGTTTCTTGTGGTCCATGGCCATTTTATTTGAATTTGAATGAGTATTTATTAGATTAACATCAGTCTATTCGTCGAAACATGATCGGTACATGCAATAGGGCAAACACGAATTTTCTATGAAAATCAGTTCATGATTCTCTCAACCTCGAAAGCATTCCTTTTCGCTGTACATACAGATAATTTTACGATATCCCCTACCCGAAAAGAAAGCCGAAATATCTATAAAGTGTGAAATTCGAAACAGTGATAGTGCACTGGATCACTAGCTCGGTAACTCATCACTTCACTGGCTCTTTTCACTGGAAGTTCGTGTGTGCCCAGTGGTGCATGTACGGTCAGTAGTGGTGGCTCGATTACTTGCTTAGCTAACCGGTTCCGTTTGCCGGACAGTAGTGGTAGCTCGGTCACTCATGTACACTGTACAATAATGACAGCTCGGTCACCCACTCACCACCCGGACTTTCTGCGCCGGGCAACAGTAATAGCTCGGTCACCCGCTCACCTAACGGACTTTGTACACTGGACAGTAGTAACAGCTCGGTCACCCGCTTACCTTCCGGGATCTGTGCACGGAAAATAGTGGCAGCTCAGCACTCCATCACCAAACGGGCTCTTTGCGCCGGACAGCAGTAGAAACTAAAGAAAACATAATATTATGCTATGCAATAAGGTAATAACAGTACGTCATTCGTATTGCATAGAGTAACGTCCATTCAACTAACGTACTTGTAGTTGTTCCTTGTAAAATATTAACGTGATGTACACTAATGTTGTACGTCACACAATAACTTTGTAATAATATATTTTACGGAACGTCTAGAACTGAAGGCATAATATTATACCATTGCCGCTCTACAATACTGCAGACCAATGGCTGACAAAAAATATAACTTCCGGTGCCCCAGTCGGTGATCCATGACGGATCATCCGTCATGCAGCCATTCAAAACAGAAATTTTCCTAACCGTTTTACTATAGCAGCTTATAAAAAACACGCGTTTGATAATATTTCACAACTGTGTGTTATGTAATACTATCTGTGCATGTATCTGGATTTCACACAATTAACAAACTATATTGTACTATGCCCTATGATATAATGGTTTGGCGGGTCTTAAATTCTATAGTTCATCCTTTAACGCTTTTCTATTTACACTTATTGTAATTAAGTAGCGCGAACGGTTCCCGTGCAAAAGGAATGCGAGAACCACATATAGCAGAACCCGCTAAGGAGGTACTATGTATGTGCACAATTTTTCTTATAAGCTGTATTATGAACACACAGAATTTTTCGAATTTCTGGTTTTGTTCTGATAGAAATAGTGCTGCTATTGAAGCGAGAAGCTCCACTGGCGGAACTTCAATAACAGCACAACATCTTTCGCAAAATAATGACGGCCTGTTTTATATTATCGTAATCTTCCGGTAGACCGATCATCTCGCGAATTATTCGGTCGCGGTTTATGTACTTACCGTTTATCGTCTAACGGCATACTGTTTATCTTACAACCTCGCCGATAACTAAAGGAAAATCGATAACTAAAGTGAAAGCTTTGGTTTATTCCACTTCTGATAAATAACGAGACATAGCCGCTACTTCCGCTGGCTCATCGCCGCGTCAGCAAGATTTCCTATTCGATAACAGATGCGCTGAAGTGTCTTCAGGTTGTGCGTAGCAAGCTAAGCGGTGGATTAGGTTATTAATTCGGTTAAGTATTCCGCATCCGCATTTTTTCATACCCCATCCACAAACATTGCAGTCAATCCGACTGCTATATTTTCGGATGGGGAATGCCGAAATGCTGGCGATTCCGCTCCCCGTATCATTCGCGCACAGTAGCATGCAGGGTTTTCCAACGGTGTTATTTTACTAGACCGCGCTGATAAACTCAGTTTAACGAAGCGAAAATACGAGATTTTGATGGTTGCCAGTTTGCAAAGGCACACGAGTGCGTTTCTATGTACAAAGCAGTTAATAGAAATAAAATGACTGTCTGCGAGAAATCCGTACTGATTGTACCGTTCTAGCGAGCGCTTCGTTTGTACAGTTGCTCCTGTACTTTTGCCTTTGATGCGTTTGTTGCCAGCTTACTATCGTTCATCGCGTAATTGTCCACTTTGCTGTCGGTAAGCGTAACTTCCGGTGCGCCAGTCGATAAAGAACAAGCACAATTCGATTTCCATAGCAATTTAGTCATTCCTGAGATGCTTAATTCAACTCAAAGTACAGAAAAAAAGACGAAGCCAAACCGTAAGGTTTACGAATAAAGCAAAGTCCAGATACAAGATTATAAATTTGTAAAAATTGTAGCAAAATATTTGATCTTTTGGTTTCGATCCACAATACGTGGCCACTATACTGATAAAGTGTAAAACTAAATACGTAGTCGCATGATTAATACATACAAACTACTACCTGAAAGCAAATACTATTAAATAAGCAAATAAACACGTTACATTGTCACTATCTTGCATAATCAATACATGATAGTGCAACCAACCTTGCACTAACTACCGTGCGTATATCAGTAAGTTCGTGATGTAGCAGCGTCCTTGGCTATTTGGACGATGGAGTGTTACCCTCGATGCTGTGGTGTCATTCCACCGTCCGATTAGCCAACTCATAAACGCAGATACGAAGTGTTGTAAATGCTCGGTGAGAACGTGTTACAGCGCATCGCGACAATTGATGGCGGGAGACATAATTATACCGTAAGTAGGATATTAATTATACACGGTGGCAATATGGATCCAAAATCACACGCCAGTCACGGCCATCCGACCTGCCAGCCAACTCGATGGCGCAAGTCCAAGTCCAGAGTCTAGATTTTTCCATCGCATTTTTCCTAAGGGGAAAATGCGATGGAAAAGGGGAATAACACGTTGTTTTACCGGAAAGCCGAACTAGAGAAAAATCGGCAGCGCGCGATGGTAATGCGCTGCGTGAAAATCGTCCCACTCAATAACACTGGAAAACATAGCCGACTAGAGCGGCTTAGGACCGCTCGAGCGGTCCCAAGCCAGAAAAGTACCGCGGAACAAAGAAATGACGGGACGAATCATCTACGTATACTGTACTGTTACCCTGCACTTGCCGAAAGTTTCGCTAGTGCAACCATGCGCACGTTGTACGATCGCTATCACGATTCACATAGACGGCATACAACAGCAAACTGCGCACACTGTACGAAATTTCGGCAAGTGCAGGGTAACAGTACAGTACTTCGACATAGTGCAGATGCAAGCAGCAGCCGAGCAGCGGCGGACAGCACGGAGTTTGTGATACAAAAGAGATGTTCGAAAGAATGTAATTTAAACTCAGTTTAGTGCAATAATTTACTGTAGCGGCTCGATCAAGTGGCGCCACAGAGTTTGTGTACGGGAAAACAGCACACATGCAGCGTGTGCATACTCACG